GTTTGCAGAATAAATTCCTCAGTGAGTGGATCTCTGCAGTTCACCGCTTTGTCCCGGAATCGTTTGACAAAGACATCAACCGATTCCCCATCCTTCTGCTTCTCATCCAACAACGTGCCGATCGAGACTTCCGTGTCGTCGTCGAAGAAATTGGTGAGGAATAACTCTTCCATGTCTGCCCAGCTAGTGATACTCCCAGGCTTAAGGCGTCGGTACCAATCGAAGGCAGGCCCGCGAAGGGTTCCTACGAATGACCGGACCATCAGGGCTTCGTTCCCAGATATTGCGCCGAGATGCGACTTGAAATAGATCAAGTGCTGAGTTGGTGAACCCCTGCCATCAAAAGGAGTAAAGTTAATCAAATTAAATTTCTGGGGATAAGGAATCAGGTCCCACTCCCTCGGGTACGGGTATGGGATGCCCGTTTTCTTCACTTCTTGAGCCGTCATCAAAGCGTTGACTTTGCTCTCAAGATCGTGCATCTTCTTGTCCTCTTCCTCGCTTTTCTTCAAATAGATCTGTGGAGGTTGAGTGGCTGACTTGGTCGGATCGCTTCCGGAGTTGTCTTTATCTGGAGGAGGATCTTCAAATATCGTCTCATCCTCTTCATTACGCCGACTGGATTCTGCTCTTTGGCTTGATTCCGGTTGGTGTTGCTGAACCTGCAAATCCCGCATCTGCTGCATAGTCAACTCCATTTCGGTTTTGAACTCAGCTCTAATTTCTTCGCGTTGTTTAGCCAACGCTTCCTGCAGCATGTGAGCCAATTGATCTGGCGTAATTGCAAATGATTCTCTGGTCCGGTTGGTGTTGCTGAACCTGCAAATCTCGCATCTGCTGCATAGTCAACTCCATTTCGGTTTTGAACTCAGCTCTAATTTCTTCGCGTTGTTTAGCCAACGCTTCTTGCAGCATTTGAGCTAGTTGATCCGGCGTGATCGCGAATGATTCTCTGGCTCGTCCAACACTGGATGCAGTATCGTCCGATGCAATAGCGGAACAAGTATCCGACAATTCTTCATCTGAAGATAAACCCTCGTGCATTCTCCTGTAATCTCGACGTAAGTTGGCTCTTCTTTGTAACCGCGCCATCCTTTGAGAAAGACCCCGCTCAACTCTCCCTCCCGGAGAGAAATCAGGGTCGTAGTTAACTGACTTTTGCTTTCCTTTATTGGTCATGTTGATAGTGACCTCAGGAAGCTCATCTTGTCGGATTACAGATTTCGTTTTGTTGAAACGTCTTGTTTTGGGTCTTGACGCTTCATTGGACAATCTTTGAAATACGGAGACTCTTGTTGAATTATTCTTAGAGCATCCGCATTCTGTCAACACTGCTTTAATGAGTCTCTCGCAAGCGCAATGAGACTCATTTTCTCTGACAACTCTCTTTCTTGAGTTATCTTTCTGATAGTACAGCTCATCATTATTGTGATTCGAGCAACCTATCTTTCGCTTTTGAACTTTGTTAACATGCACAGGACGACTGGTCGTCGCCTCTGAGCGATCCAAAGTTGAATGTTTAAATCCACCCCCTTGCGGGTGTGGAGTTTTCAGAGGTCCTAAACGAGAGTGAACTGGTATTCTCTCGTTTTGGACTTGTGCAGTTCTGACAGGAGGGTGTTTACGACCCCCTGCATATGAAACCATTAATGGTTTATTTGCCGGACATGGTTGTTCCTTGACTGGGGCTTTGCCTCGATCGTCAACCGAAGGACCGAGGCGATCTGCCATTGTCACTTTAAACTTAGACAAATCTGGGCTAACCCAGGGTTTCACCGATGACGCAGTAGATGGGCCCGGAACAGATGCTTGTGGCGTCTTTGGCATCCAGACTTTACGATTCTTCGGTGGCCTTTCAGTCACCGCCTCTTTCTTGGTTTCTTGCGCTTGTTGACGAAGAGCGCGAGCGTGGGCAGCCTTCGCCTTACGCCTTTGTATCCGTTCTTTAAGGGTTGAACGGGCCCTTTTGACGAGAGTCCATTCCTCCGTCGTAAGCTTTGCAGAAATATGATTATCTTGCCATTGAGGCAACTGGGTCATTTTCTGTTTTCTCGACTCTAGGTCCGCATAGTAATGGACCCCGTCGGTTTGTTGCATGGCCTTAGCCAGTTGTCGAGCACGGCGCTGACGCTGTCTCTGACGAGCCCTCTTCGTCAGCACCGGCGAGCTATTCATCATCGACTCCTTAAGGGATGTGGAGTCGTTTGGAGCAGGTATGTTGCAGATGGGTTCCTTAGCAGCAATTGAGTAGGAACCTTCACCTGCGGCCTCTTTGGGCATTGCAGACTTGAAAGTTTTCGAAATCTTCCTATATTTGCGAGACGAGGAAGATTTCGCGGATGAGGATGATAAATACTCCTCAAACTTCGCCTGATCGAATTCGTATTCGATCTCTTCATTGATGATGATCTTGATCGGTTGCGACACCGCGGCCTCGGCAGCGAGGCCGCTGGCTCCCACTGTGGTCGCCAGCTTGTTTGGTTCAAAAGTCGCTGCTGTGGAATTCATTATAACTTTGTTCGATTACAACAAATTCGAAAGAATAATCTTTTTATAAGACTTTTTCTACACAACAAAACAAAAATTACAACTCTTGAGAAACAAACACGAAAATCGTCTATCAATTCTCGTTTTCGTGGGACTTTGCCTGTGCCGGGAACGCTTTGGTTCGTGGACCGCCGATTCACAGATCGTGAAGAGGGGGCTTATGATTCTAACTTCGTTATCGAAGTAGAAATTGAAACGATATCTTATCGAAGTAAGATAGTCGTTCTTCTTAAAATCAAGTCGAAGCTTAATTTCAAGGCGTTGCAAGAAAAGAACTCAAATCTCTGCTCTCTCTGCTCTGGAATGCTCTAACAAATGCTCGATCCTCGTCAGAAGTGACCCTAGGGGGGTATTTATAGCCTCAAGGGTCAGTAACTGCAAAAACTTAACAATCGAAGAAGTCAGTACGGCGAGACAGTGTTTACTGTCTCGCTGGGCGAGACAGCGTTTGCTGTCTCGACCCGCGAGACAGTAAATTTGCTGTCTCGCTCAGCGAGACAGTAAATGCTGTCTCGGAAAATGGCAGTTTCTCGCTGTAACTGTTCTCTCACGTTTCAAACTCCGTTATTTTGGCAGTTATCCACGTGATTTTCGCCCATGATGTTTCCCACGTCCCTTGGCAGTTAATGGACACGTGTAGGGCAGTTACAAATGTAGTTTTGACTATTTCAACACTGTCTCGCTGGCGAGACAGCAAAGACTGTCTCGCTGGCGAGACAGTTCATACTTGTTTTGATTTTTCCAAAACAGTATGAAACCCTTTCTTGTGAGTTTTTGAGTGATCTTCTCTATGCTTGGGATATCTATTAGCATTTTTTGACGCCTACAATGATGATGGAAATTAATAAAAGAGTCCGCAGTTAAAAGTCACAATCTATAAAACTAAGGTTGCCTCCCAAATTATAGAGGGAAAAATAAGGTTTCGCTTACCCAATAATATAGAGGAAAAAAAGCAAAGAGGGGAAATTTTATGTGTGTATTGTGTTTGGGGGGGGGGGGGCGGGATTACAGCTGGGGTTAGAAAAGCAAGCCGGAAGGAGAATAAAATTTTGGCGGGAAGCGGTTGTTTCCACCGAATAACATGGGAAAATAAGGTAAGATAAATAATAAACATACTAATTAATTAGGAGTGATCCCCACTTTTTTCTCACTTTCACTTGACTTCAGCACTTTTTTAGGGAAATTTAAACATGCATTAGAGCTGATGTGGACTCATTTTAACATTTCACTTTCAAAACTACTTTCAATAAAACAAACACCAAAAGTCTTAAAATCATTTTACTTTCACACTTTTACAATTCACTTTCGTAAAAACAAACACCCCCTATAATGAGATAGAACAGCGATCCCTACCAAAGGTACATGGTATATAAGAGAATGAGGTTAGTTCCAATATTACCCTATAATAACATGTTCTGCGCAGGTAAATCACGAGCAACACAACGGTAGTTTTGTTGATTTTTAAAGCTAAAAAAAAATTACATTAGATTGTTTAACTTAAAAATGTTATCCCGTGTTATATCAAATTTTGTTTGAGATAAAGCTATGATACAATAAGCGCCAACATTTCGTTACACAGAAATTACGACAACATAAGACGAAACAAGCACATGCGGAAAAAAAAAAAAAAATCAAATTTTACTTTTGTAATTCACAGTAGTTTTGCGGTCAATCTTAATCTTGAGCATCGAACGGTATAGATTAAAAGCAAAGAAAGGGAAAAACAAACCAAGTGATGAAATAGAATGCAAGTGCTTTACGTGCACACATTCTCACAAGCCAAAAATTCAACAATCCAAGTCAATTAGATGGATATACGTGATACGACCAAAGAGATTAAATCTCAAACTAAAAAAGTGCAATATAATCATTCTTTAAATTGACACCACCCTTTTCAAAGCTACCCTGAAGACATTGACTTTTTTCCTACAAGAAAAATACAGAAAAATAAAATAAAATAAAAATAAATAAATAAATAAATAAATAATAAATAAATAAATAAAAGTAAATTGAATAATCACAAGCTCTTCCCTCCTCTTTCCCCCTCCCAACATTCTCTTTGTCCCATCTCATTCTTGATCTCCAAATGCGATTTAAGAATCAAATATCTCCTCCACTTGACCGTTGACCAACCACTCCTCCCGGTCACCCCTCCGCCTTCTGTTTGACTTCCACCGGCTGCTCCCGTCACCATCTCAAACTCTGCCCCTCAACTTAAATAAATAAATAAAAGTAAATTGAATAATCACAAGCTCTTCCCTCCTCTTTCCCCCTCCCAACATTCTCTTTGTCCCATCTCATTCTTGATCTCCAAATGCGATTTAAGAATCAAATATCTCCTCCACTTGACCGTTGACCAACCACTCCTCCCGGTCACCCCTCCGCCTTCTGTTTGACTTCCACCGGCTGCTCCCGTCACCATCTCAAACTCTGCCCCTCAACTTTTCTGTAAATTAACAAATGCTCAAATGCGTAGACTCGTTGCAAATAAGTATTGTTATTAAAATGCAAACATCGCGAAGGAGAGAGTTGAAAGAGGTAGGATGGAGAAAGTTAAAGCTACCCCGTTCTCTCTTTTTGTCTCCATTGTGTTCTTTTGAATCCAAAACGAGCAAACCATAAAAAATCTCCCAAAATTCTCAAATGGGTTATGTTAATTGCTGATTATAACCCATAAAGGATTCTCCTTTGCTCTTTTCAACAAATGGGTTTTGCTAAATGTTAGCTGTAACCAAGAAAGGAGACTCCTTTGGCCTTCTTACATGAAACAGAGTCTCTTAAAATTATCAAATTGGTTTTGCTAATTATTTTCTTTATCCAAGAAAACAGCTTCCTTTACTCTTTCTGAGGTATTCTCTCAACCGGCTATTATTTGAAATGGGAAGCAGAGGAGTTCTCTTCGGACCTCTCTTAATGCTCTCATGGTGTTTGCTATTTTCCCTCTTCCAAGCTCAGCTAGCTTTTTCACAGAACTCAACTTGTAATTCAAAAGATTTGAATGCTTTAAGAGGTTTTTTGGGAGGTATTCAATCTGGAATTGATGGGTGGAGCCTCAATGACTCTTCTGATTGTTGCACTTTGCCTGGCGTTTTCTGCGACGGTGCAGTTTCTGATCGAAGAGTTATTGAATTGAATCTTTTCAATATGAGCCTTAAAGGTTCTCTATCTGATTCTTTGGCCAATTTGGATCATTTGAAAACTCTCAATCTTTCTTATAATTCTCTACAAGGCTCAGCTCCTATAGACCTCCTTCATCTTCCTCGACTGGAGGTTCTTGATCTTAGTGTAAACAAGCTTTCAGGATTCATTCCGTTGAATACTAGCCTTCCCTTGATCCGGGTTTTCAATATTTCGACCAATTCATTCAATGGCACTCACCCTATCCTTTCAGGTTCAAGAAATCTCATGGAGTTTGATATCAGTTCCAATAGTTTCTGGGGAGGAATTAATGCTACAATTTGCAATTCATCAACACAGGTCCAAATCCTTAGATTCTCAGCAAACGGTTTCTCTGGCAAATTCCCAATTGGTTTTGGGATGTGTCGCTCTCTTCGTCAGCTTTCCATCGATATGAATGAGATTTCTGGTAGTTTGCCTGATGATTTATTCGAAATATCATGGTTGACACAATTGAATCTTCAAGGGAACAATCTTCAGGGTGTGGTGAGTTCAAGAATCAGTAATCTTTCTAACCTTGTTCAATTGGATCTTTCATTGAATAATTTCTCAGGTTTGATTCCTGATGCCATTGGTAATCTTAGAAAGCTAGAGTCTTTTTCTGTTCAATCCAACAGATTCAATGGAACTCTACCTTCTTCTTTGTCTAACTTGAACACACTTAGAATACTAAACCTTAGGAACAACTCATTGAGTGGTGATATTAGTGTCATTTCTTGGCTCTCAAGCCTAACTTCTCTTGATCTCGGTACAAATCTCTTTACTGGTTCTATTCCTTATAATCTCTCAAATTGTTCGGAATTGATGACCATAAATCTCGCTAGAAACAAACTCAGCAGTGAAATCCCGGCAAGCTTCATGAACCTCACTCGTCTCGCTTCCCTCTCACTATCGAATAACAGCTTCTCCAATCTCTCATTGGCATTGCAAGTCCTTCAGCATTGTCCAAATCTCACTAATCTTGTTCTCACGAAGAATTTCCTTCGTGGAGAAACAATGCCATCGGATAAAATTCAAGGATTTGAGAAGATGGAAGTTCTCGTTATTGCAAATTGTGCTCTCTCTGGCTCAATTCCATCTTGGTTGGCTAACTGCCCAAAATTGAAAGTCTTGGATATCTCATGGAATCATTTGGATGGAAAAATTCCTCCATGGATTGGAGATTTTGATTTTCTCTTTTACTTGGATATTTCAAACAACTCTCTCACAGGAGAAATCCCTAGCAGTTTGACACAAATGAAGAGTCTAATATCTGCTGATGCATTGAAACAAGGAGCTACAATTCAAGAATTCCCATTTTTCTCAAAAAGAAATTCGAGTGCGAAGGGTCTCCAATATAATCAAGTTAGCAGTTTCCCCTCATCTTTGATCCTTAGCAACAACAAGCTCGTTGGCCCAATATTGCCAGGATTTGGAGAGCTTAAGCAGCTCCTCATATTGGATCTCCATATGAATCATTTGTCAGGGACTATACCTGAAGAGCTATCAAAAATGTCAAACTTAGAAACCCTGGACTTATCACATAACAACCTTACCGGGGTTATTCCATCTTCATTTACCAAGCTTAACTTTTTAGCAAAGTTTCGCGTGGCATACAATAAATTGGTGGGGCAAATTCCTAGCGGTGGCCAGTTCTCAACATTCTCTATGGCTGATTTTGTCGGAAATCTAGGATTGTGTGGCTTTCATTTTTCTCCCTGCTCATCTGAAACTCCTGCTGAGCCTGAAGCTAGCAGGAAGAATAAAGGAGCAGCTATTGGTATGGCAATAGGAATCGGCATTGGGACTGCTTTACTCCTCACTATCATCTACTTAGCTGTGTACAGATTTCGATGTAGACAGCAGGAAGACACCGCAAAAGTGATGGCTGATGCTGAAGAGCAACTAGAATCTGCAGGGTCTAGCTTGGTTCTTCTCTTTCAGAACAAAGGCCAAACCGAACTGACCATTAATGATATATTGAAATCCACCAACAATTTCGATCAAGCACATATCATCGGCTGTGGAGGTTTCGGTTTAGTTTACAAAGCAACTTTCACAGATGGGAGGAAAGTTGCAATCAAAAGGCTCTCAGGTGATTTTTGTCAAATGGAGAGGGAATTCCAAGCTGAGGTTGAAACACTTTCAAGAGCTCAACACAACAATCTTGTTCTTCTTCAAGGATATTGTAGAGTTGGGAATGATAGACTTCTAATATACTCATACATGGAGAATGGTAGTCTTGATTATTGGCTTCATGAGAAGCTTGAAGAGGGATCAACACTGAATTGGGCAAAAAGACTACAAATAGCTCAAGGAGCGGCAAGGGGATTAGCTTATTTACATCAATCATGTGAGCCTCGTATACTGCACAGGGACATCAAATCAAGCAACATACTCCTGGATGAAAATTTTGTTGCTCATCTCGCTGATTTTGGGCTAGCGAGGCTTATTCTGCCTCAAGATACACATGTGTCAACTGATCTTGTTGGTACTTTGGGATATATACCTCCAGAATATGGCCAAGCCTCTGTGGCTACTTACAGAGGTGATGTGTACAGCTTCGGTGTTGTTCTATTGGAGTTGCTTACGGGCAGGAGGCCTGTGGATATGTGCAAACCGAAGGGATGCACGGATTTGATCGAGTGGGTTTTTCAGATGAAGAAGGAGAAGAGGGAAACCGAGGTTTTTGATGCGCACATATATGACACGGATTACGATGCACAGATGACAAAGATGCTCGAGATTGCATGCCTTTGTGTTAATCAATCTCCTAAACTTAGGCCATTGACGCAACAAGTAGTCAAATGGTTGGATGAAATTGGGACTTCAGAGTAGCTGATGATGTACATAGCATTTGCATGATCTTGGTGGTGCTGATAGAATCCAAGGCAATATAGATGTCAGGTATGTAAGTTACACTCTTTGTGATACAACTTTTGTTCTCAATGTCTTCCTATTCTCAATGTTGTAACTACTGTCTTAAGTATACCTCTATATGTAATGTAAAATACTACAAATTTCAATGACTTGTACAGTGTAAACTTAGAAAGTTTTCCTTCATAATGATAATGTGAAATCTAACGTTATGTCAACATGTACATTGTATCTTATAGTTCAGAATATTCATCCATTTTGTTTTGTTGAGATAGTTTCTTTTGATAATATTTTTTGCACCTATTACTTAAAAGCATATTGTGCACATCATCAAGAATCCTGTGCACATTATCATTATGAAATCCCAAGCATAAGTGTAGGCGTCAAAAATTACCCACAGATTCTCGCACGCGACTCGAGACAGAGAGAAGATGATGAACGTCATTATCCAAATCAAGGAGAATTATCTGATGTCATAGAGAAGCTAACAAATGCACGAAGCGAGTTGATAAAGCATACAAATCAACGGGATGGTACAATAACAAAGAAGCGACTCATTCAGCATAAAGAGGAATAGCTCGAGAGATCTGCATCCGGTTCATCCGCTTTCCTCGAAATCGTACCTAACTGGGATTCTCGAGAAGAGTGAGTATCTCGCTTTGCCAAGATATTCGCTTAAGTTTCTTGTCTCCTTTGCGAGGCAACGAAACCGTTCTTTTGATCTGATCGCTCGGTGGTTCACGGATTAACCCGGCACAGGAAAAAATCACACGCAAGCAGAAGACCGATAAACGATCTCTGCGTGTGTTCTCAGGAAATCTTTTTGTTTCTTTTCATTGTAAGAAAAGTCTTATAAAAAGACTTAATTTTTCTTTTATTTTGAATCGTTGTAACGCTTGAAGTTGTAACGGATTCGAAAGCAATAAAACCGATTTTCGACGCGAACACGCTAGCGATCACAATGGGAGGTAACAACCTTGTTGCCAAGGCTGTCGTGTCGCAGCCGACGATTAAGATCCTCGTGGATGAAGAGGTCGAATACGAGTTCGACCAGCAGAAATTTGAGGAGCACGTCTCCTCCTCCTCCTCCTCCAGATCGTCTTCTCCTTGTAAGGACGGGAAGGCCGCTTCCCTCAAGAAGGTTTGTTGGTCTTCAGATCTGAAGATTCGGGGTGACGTTCTTCACCCAGTTGTTGCTGAAGGCTTCTCCCCGGCGCTTAAGAAGGCCAGATCTGACGTTTGTGACAACTCCTCAAAGGTCAAGGAGTTGCCTGTCGAAGACACATTGTTGTTAACGAAAAGGGCTCGTCAAAGGCGCCGTCAACATCTCGCTTGCCAATTCGCCAAGGCTTTGGATCAGATGGACGAACTCTGTTACCAAGCGAATCTGAAGTTCAGAAAGTGCCAAGTGGCTAAGTCGCCGTCACAACCAACATCAGGGTCCTCCTCCCAACCGTCAACTGACAAATAGGTTCGTGTCAAACGAACCCGTTCTACGTTCGAGGAGCGCATCCAGAAGCACCACGCACTTGTTGCACATGCCCGGATCCTTGTGCATAAAGCACAAGAATTACAAAAAGAAGAGGTGTTCAAAAGGTCACTAAGATCTAAGTAGGTTTGGGTGTCGAAGGCCAAGTCAGCGTTTCTATCCGACAAGAGACACCAGTCGTGTCTCTCGCTCGATTGCATATCCAAAGTTGGTTCCCAGCTTTCGTCAAGTTCAGATCTCGCTCCTTCTAATCCCGCACCTTCAGTGAAGTTCCGCCACAGTATGAACATATCCAAAGGTAAGAAAACAATAGCGAATCGCCTAGGTCCTTTGCACGAAGATCGAGGTAAGGTTCCCGTCAGAGAACGTTTGGGCCCAGTGAATGAACCCCGAATAACTCATCGAGTTGGGGGTCGCATGTGCTTTTTGCAACAATTTGAAAGCTTCCTATAATGGAAAAACCCCTATTACTGACCGACTCAGGCTGCGTGTCGAAGTCCAAGAGCCCGTTGAGGTCCCACGCTTACAAAGGCGTAACTCCAAACGTGTGACTCTTGAAAATGCTAACAAAATGTTATATCCCCAGAAGAAAACATATTCATCTGACGATGATAACGTTATACCTGGAAAGTTGTGTCAGCACACGATAGGCTGCTCCGGCAATCATGCCGATGAGTTGTACTATCAGGCTGGGGGTACAAACAAATCTCGAAAGAGAAGTACCCGGAAAACGGATTCTCACTGTCCGTGTACCAAAATTATCCGGACAGTATTATTAGAATGTAGCTGTCCTAAGATCGCTCCACAGAGGGTCTTCGTATTCTAAAGGCTTTCCCCTGTAGCGTTGAAACCATGGTTGATAGGGGGTAAGTCAAGACATTTCCGTAAAAGAAAGTTAACCGGTCAAGATAACGAATTCCCTGAAGTCATTATCAACATGGTTGACAGAGAAAAATCTACGATTGTTTCAAACGTCTCTAATCCTGACTTTTCTTCGGGAAGAAAAGTCAATATAGGAATAGTCCAACGGATGTCTTGGCTCCAGCGAGAAGCCATCAAACACAGGGTTGACCCAAGGATGCACGAAGGACTATCTTCAGAGGACGAACTTTTAGATACTTGCTCCGCAATCGCCTCCGACGACACAATGTCTAGCGTGGGACAAGCTCGGGAAGTGTTCATGATTAACACTGAGCAGATGACCAAAATCATCGAGGATGCTTTGGCTAAGCAAAAAGAGAACTTCAAGTTCGAATTGGAAATGACCATGATGCGGATGAAGGAAGAACATGACCAACAGATTCGGGCTCTGTCCAATCAACTTGGTAAATCCAGTCGTCACAACATTGCTAACCAAGCAGGTAGCAATCCAGATGTGGATGAACCAACGTCGATAACCCTCCCATTGACCAGAACGCTGGGGGTGACCCCACTGAAGACAACGATGCTGGGGGTGGTCCTACTGAAGATGACAATGCTAGGGGTGGCTGCGTTGTTCCTTTTAGAAATCGTCCAAAGCATGATGCAAACTAAGACGAAAAGATGAAAGACCTCGAGAGCATAATCAACGCTCTGATGTCTGCTCGAGAGGTGAAGAAGATCGGTATTCTGTGTCTTTCCCAAGAGAGTGGGAGTCGATCCAGTATCCGGCGAAGTTCAACCTGATCAACTTCACGTCGTTCGATGGGAAAAGCTAGCCCACTCAGCATCTGGTCTACTTCAAGTCCCACTTAGGCATGATTTCTGACAATGAAACCTTGATGGTTCGGTCATTCGTGGGCACCCTTCGCGGGGCTGCCTTCGATTGGTACCGCTGTCTCAAGCCTGGAAGCGTCAATAGCTGGGATGACAGGGAAAACTCATTTCTCGGTAATTTTTTTGATGACGATACCGAGATATCAATCAGGACGCTCTTTGAGGAGAAACAGGAAGACGAAGAGACGGTCAATGACTTCGTCAAGCGCTTTCGAAATAAGGTAATGAACTGCCGAGATCCAGTCACAGAGGACTTCATCCTCCAAACCTATCATAACAACCTGTCCATTGATATCTTGGAAGTTATGGGAGTAGCACCGTCCAAGACTTGGAGAGAGTTGAAGGTGCACGTAGAACAGGCCGAACGCTTCCTCAGAAGAAAGAAAGCCGAGAGAAGCCGACCAACGGCTAACCCTCCAAAATCAAACGTCGCCTCCCGTGGAAAGGGGAATGTACTTGCACCAGCTGTTGATGTTAATCAGACGTCACAACAGTAACCCCGAAGACAGCAAAAGACTTCGGATCCGAGACTTCACAAAGAGTACTCCTTCAAGGACGAAGACGTTCCAGCCATTTTCGAATCACTCCTTAAAAACAACAAGATCAAGCTACCACCTATCACAAATCAGGAGGAAGCTGACAATACTTCGGATCCAAAGTACTGTGTGTACCACAAGAGGATCCTTCATCCCACCAAGCCTTGCTTCGCTCTCAAGAATAGCATCCAAACATTGGTTGAAGCTTGTGTCATAACGCTAAATTAAGCCGAATGAAGACTCCGACAAGTATTAGAGTATAAACTGCTCCTTCCAACACTCCGAAGAGTATACGAATATAAACTGCTTCTCAATACTCCAACAGGTATACGAGTCTAAACTATTTCCTAATTTTAACGGGAAGTTCCTAGAAGAATATCGTATGTGATATTCTTAAGGATAATCCGACCATTCAGCTGAGTACAATGTTAGAACCAGTTTCACAAAGAAAGCTAGGGGTGGATGTAACGGGAAGTTCCCGAAAGAATGCTATATGTTGCGTTCTTAGGGATAACCGGCTACAAAAAGGGGATGAATAAGAAACTCCAACTTGGACTCTAAATGCTTCCAAGAATGAAACACATCCAATTGTCGGGATCAATTTCACCAACTTCCAAGCACTCTTTTGCTGAGACGAGATTTGATCACTTCGTTGGATCAATCTTCCCTCACAAGAAACTCCCACTGGTGTTTGACAATTTATAATCTTCCACCACAAAATCCCTCACTGATCAAATTAATTGACGGGGGTTCCACTAAAATTCTTTCTGGTTTAATCCACTCAAACTCCCGTTACGTCTGTGCACTCAACACTTCCATTGTTAGAGTCCGGACATAATGCTCGGAATTTTGATCTGTCAATCCTTGACGAATTGTCAAACCCCTTCGTGTTAAGTTCTTATCACTTGACATCAAGAACCCCCACTGAGTAATCGGTACAAGTCAACACTCCCACTGTGATTTGTACTTCCACTCCCACTGTCTACGTGGTCAAACCTTCCTACAGTTAGGGCCACAACCAAAATCCCCTCTTGATTCCTCTAATGAACGTGAGGTCCATGAATCGAGTGATCAAACCTTCCTACAGTTAGGGCCACAACCAAAATACCCAACCAAAATCCCCTCTCGATTCCTCCATTGAACGTGAGGTTCACGAATCGAGCGATCAAATCTTCCAATAGTTAGGATCGTTCAAACCCCCCCCCATTTGGTCAAACCTTCATACAGTTAGGGCCAAAGCCAAAATCTCCTCTCGATTCCTTCCATGAACGAGAGGTCCACTTTTAAATCGAGTGATCAAACCTTCGTACAGTTAGGGTCACCTCAAACTCCCGCTTGGTCAAACTTTCCTACAATTAGGGTCAAAATCATAATTCACTCTCGATAAACAAGAAATTCACTTTTATTCGGTAATCAAACCTTCCGACAATTAAGATTATCCGAATTTTTTCGATTCTTGGAGTGGAGATCTCACTCTTAGTTTCACTTTTCAGATTCTCGAAGTGGAGATCCCACTTTGAGTTTCCTTTGCAACTGGAGATAGAATATAAAATTCTTTCTTTCCAACATCGGGTTCGTCTTTACCCCAAGAGAAGACACTACTTTTCAACTCCCAAAATCCGCGTCTTACACACGCGGGGAATTTTATCCCAAATCCTAAGTAGGGATAAGTTAGTGCCTAACACACGTTGTCGGTTTAGTCTTTCACTGATTGAAGAAGACATCAGAATCCAAGTCTAGGGATTTTTATCCCGAAGCCTAAGTAGGGATAAATCAACGCCTAACACGCGTTACCGAGTAGTCTATTCCCGTATGAAAGACAAAGTCTACGTATTCAATATCGTAGCACTAAGAGAGTTAACTCTCTTAGAACAATGTCACATCCGGAACGGACTTAAACAATCCGCATGCAAGCCCGATTCAAACTATAATCGGTAAAGGCAACCCAAATCCGTTAAAGGCTGAGGATTTGCCAAAAATCCTAAGTCCACGTCTAATACACGTTGCCGTTTAGTCTTTTCACGGGAGAAAGACGAATTCTACGTATTAAATAACGTGGCACTAAAAGAGTTAACTCTTTTAGCACAACGTTACATACGGAACTGATTTGAACAATCTGCATGCTAACCTGACTCAAACGGTAGTCAGTAAAGGATAATCAAACCCGTTGATGGCTGAAAATTTGCCAAAAATTCTATAAATGTGATAGTCATTGATGCACCAGCTCCATTAATTGGTCTCGTGACTCAAGGATCTGATAACTTCAGGATAAGATCCAGTCATGCAGATGAATCAACTTTAACAGTTGGTCCTACAGTCCCAATATTTGGGACCGTCACGCTCCAACGCCTTAAGAGCATA